ACTTAAATTTTATTATTTTTTTTTTTAAGAAACGTTAACTAACGTTTCTTTTTTTTTATTTTTTGTAGGTTCTGGACGTTTGGATAGTGAAATTCGAAACGAGCCAGTAAGTTTCGCAACATGTGTTGCGAAACTTTATTTTATTAATTTTTTTTTTAAAGAAATGATACTAATGTTTCTTTTTTTCCTTTTTTTAGATTCTGGACGTTTGGATGATAAATTTCGAAATGAACTGGTAAGTTTCGCAACATTGTGTTGCGAAACTTTATTTTATTAATTTTTTTTTTAAAGAAATGATACTAACGTTTCTTTTTTTCCTTTTTTTAGATTCCAGACGTTTGGATGATGAATTTCGAAACGAAGGTAAGTTTTGCAACATTGTGTTGCGAAACTTGAATTTTATTGTTTTTTTTTAAGAAACGTTAACTAACGTTTCTTTTTTTTTATTTTTTGTAGGTTCTGGACGTTTGGATAGTGAAATTCAAAACGAGCCGGTAAGTTTCGCAGCGTGTGTTGCGAAACTTTATTTTATTAATTTTTTTTTAAAGAAACGATACTAAATGTTTCTTTTTTTCCTTTTTTTAGATTCCGGACGTTTGGATGATAAATTTCGAAATGAACTGGTAAGTTTTGCAACATTGTGTTGCGAAACTTTATTTTTATTTATTTTTTTTAAGAAACGTTAACTAACGTTTTTTTTCTTCTTTTTGTAGGAACGCTGGATGAAATTTTTGGGTGAAAGGTAATATTTTTGTTTTTTTTTGTTAATAATTTTTTCTACGAAACGTTAACTAACGTTTCAGTTTTTTTTTTATAGATCCACGGCTTCGCCTCCAGGATGAGATTTCGAAGGTAAATATTTACCTTCGAATCAATTTTGTTTTTTTTTTGTTTAACGAAACGTTAGTAAACGTTTACTAACATTTCGTTTATCTTTATTTTTGTAGTTGATTTTCTGGTCGCCTTCTGTACGGAAGAATTTTGAAGGTAAATATAAGAACCTTCGAAGTTTATTTGTTTTATTTACAATGAAACATTTACTAACGTTTCGGTTTTCATTTTTTAGGTTCCAGGGTGCCGTTTCAACATTTCGAAGGTATTAGAACTTCGAAATTATTGGATTTTTGTTATGTAACAAAACATTGTTTAAAGTTTCATTTATTTATTTTTTTTTTTTGTAGGTTAAAGGAACGGAAAAATGAAAGGGAAAGGTGAAGACAAAAGGGGAAAGAGAAAGGGGAAAGAGAAAGGAAAAACCGAAATGGAGCGGGTGAACATTTCGAAGGTATACTTCAAAATGTTTGTTATACCTTCGAAATGTTTGTTTTTTATTTTCTTTTTTAACGAAATGTTTATTAACGTTTCGTTTATTTTTTCTTTTTTTTTAGATTCGATGGCTCCTTGGACATACCGGAGTTCAATATTTCGAAGGTATATTATACTTTGAAATACTTTTTTTATTTTTATTTTTCAATGAAACGTATATTAACGTTTCATTTTTTTTTTTCTTAGGTTTGGTGGTTCTTGTTCTTGAATGTATGGAATTTAACATTTCGAAGGTATATAACTTTGAAATGTTTTTTATTTTGATTTTTTTCAATGAAACGTATATTAATGTTTCATTTTTTTTTCTTTTTTAAGTTTTCACTGGCTTCTACTTCAGCATCGGACATTTGATACATGAATGAATTAGAGGTGCAGATTATCCATAGATCATTGGATATTTGATGAATATTGATTATCGTTAAATAATAATAATTGTGCATTTATTAATAAATAATATTATAATAAATTATGTGAAATTATTAAACCAGTGATTTAAATTGTCATGGCGTTTACACTAAATTGTTTAAAATTATTACTAAATTTCGCTCAATTGTCCGAAATTATTACAAAATTTAACTCAATTATCTGAAATTATTGCAAAATTTCACTAAATTGTCTCTGAAAATGTTGCATTTATACCGTTTACACTCAATTGTCCAAAATCGGTAAAACATTTTTACTCAATTGTCTGAAATTATCCTAAATTTCATTAAATTATTCAAAAATTTAGCTAAAATTTACCAAAAAAATGCCACAATTTTCCACAATTTGCATTACGTTTGCACAACATTGCTGAAAAATTCACCTAAATTTTCAACAATTTACATAACATTACTAAAAATACACTACAATTTACCACAATTTGCATTACTTTTGCATGAAATTACTAAAAATTCACTATAATTTACCACAATTTGCATTACGTTTACATAAAATTACTAAAAATTTAACTAAATTCACCACAATTTGCATTACGTTTACATAAAATTACTAAAAATTTAACAAAATTCACCACAATTTGCACTTCGTTTGCATAGCATTACTA